TGGGTAGAGTGCTGCAGCATCCTCTAACTCCTGGGCTCAAGCGATTCTCCTGCCTCTGCCTCCCAAGTACCTGGGACTACAGGCACCCACCACAACACCCGGCTATTTTTTGGTTGCACCTATCATTATTGTTTGGCCAGCCCAGGCTGGATTTGAACCCACCAGCTCAGGTGTATGTGGCTGGCACCTTAGCTGCTTGAGCCATAGGCACCGAGCCTAGCTTTTCTAGTTTTAGTAGAGGTGGATTCTCACTCTTGCATAGGCTGGTTTCAAATTCCTGAGCTCAAAAGATCCACTTGCCTCAGTCTCCCAGAGTGCTAGGATTACAGGCATGAGCCACCAAGCCCAACTAAGGATGGTTTTACACTAACAAAGGGTTGTTTTTAAAAAGAAGAAGAAGGGGCAGAGCCTGTGGCTCAAACGAGTAAGGTGCTGGCCCCATATCCCGGAGGTGGCGGGTTCAAATCCAGCCCCAGCCAAAAACTGCCCCCCCAAAAAGAAGAAGAAGAAGAAGGCTTGGCACCTGTAGCACAGTGGTTACTGCCCCAGCCACATACAAGGCTGGCGGATTCAAATCCGGCCTGGACCACCTAAACAACAGTAACAACTGCAACCAAAAAATAGTTGGGCATTGTGGCGAGCACTTGTAGTCCCAGCTGCTTGGGAGGCCGAGGCAAGAGAATTGCTTAAGCCCAAGAGTTTGAGGTTGATGTGAGCTGTGACGCCAAGGAACTCTACCAAGGGTGACATGGTGAGACTCTGTCTCAAATAAATAAGTAAATAAAAAGAAGAATAAGAAAAACAAAAAAGAATTTGTAACAGAGACCTCTATGACTTACAGATTTTGAAATGTTTACTATCTGAGCCTTTATTAAAAAGGGCCAACCCATGCATGTCTATATTGAATGACTTCTGGGAGACTACACTAAAGTGTCATTGGTGTTGCCTCCTATTGTGGCGTTGGTCTTTTATTCTATACCAGTTTGAACTTGTTCACTATGTTCATGCACCATACATGTGGGGGTTTCCCCCCTCACCCGCACACATACAAAAAAGATACTGGCCAGAGGAAACAGTCAGCTGTAAGGAGTTACTAGAGCAAGTTGCCTTCAGCCCCTGTTGACTAGAAATGACCCAAGAGACAGCTGATTTGTTCTGTTGGTGATCCTGGTTTGTGCTCCATCCTTAGGTGTTTAGAGACCATCTTTGAGGAACCCAAGGAACGAAATGGTACGCTAATCTCAATCAGCCAACAGAAGAGGAAGCGAGTTCTAGAATTTCAGGATTTCACAGTCCCACGAAAGAGGAGAGCTCGAGGTAAAGTGAAGGTGGTGGGCAGCTTTACAAGGGCCCAGAAGGCAGCTCTGCAGAGTCAAGAACTGGATGCTCTTTTGATACAGAAACTCATGGAACTGGAGACCTTCTTTGCCAAGGAAGAGGAACAGGAACAATCATCAGGTTGAGAACCAACCCACTGGGGAGTCTCAATTTTAGATTTACTTTGGACCTCCTTGGAAGAGGTTGCCTGATTTTTGCCCAACTGCCCAAACTACTCAACATGCACAGTTTATGAATTTTTACCTATTTCAAGGTGCAACCTTTTTAGGAAGTGGTAAAGGAGGGTCCTCTACTTCTACTGCTGAGTTTAGAACCTCAGGAATGTTCCCTTTTTCCTGGAAATGGTCCTGAATGACATCTGGCCGCCTCCTCTCAATCTCTGCCATCCACAGGAGCAAAAAGCGGCATATTCAAAGTAACACTAGGATTCCAAGGACTCACAGGATTTGCACGTCCACATGAAAGTTCCACTTTGTTTACAGTGGTGCTAGACCAAGATTATTTAGAAGCGTGGCCTAGGGAGGGGGACCTGGTGTCCTGTCCTGCGGGGTCCCACCAGCTCATTTCAGTAGTTAAGGAGTGATGAGCTGTTGTTTTCTAATCCTTTGAGTCTGTCTGCCCAAACTTGTTGATGTGAGCATATGTGAGAGTGTACATGTGGTGTGTGTGTGTGTGCGTGTGTGTGTGGCGTTTTCCCATCATCTCCCCTCTGTGACTATGGGTCACTAGTGCCAGAGGAGCCCATCCAGGCCCCATTTGAAGTAAGTTGCACTTTTTAATGTTGTGGTGTTGATTATTTTCCTTTATTTCCTTTTTTTTTCTTTTTTTATTGCTGCATGTTTGGAGCCTTTAAATGTGATTTTAAAATAATTTTTTTAGACATTAAGGAGAAAGACAATACATGTCTTAATACATGATAGGCATTTGACCCAGTTGATTGGTGCATGGAAGAGATGTTTTCCCATTCTCTTGTCTCACATAATCCTTTACCCATCTTCAGCTTCTAGTGTAACTCATTAGAGGGAGCACTTTTTTCATCTGAGTTCTTTTTTTTTTTTTTTTTTTTTTTTTTTTT